TGTATTACATACTTAAATTAATTAAACTACTCGTAAATTTAACGTTTATTAATATCTTTCATAAACAATATTATTTTTTTTATGAAACGGGTATGTCAAATTTTTTTCATTTATTTATTTGATTAYAAAAATAATTTTGCTAAACATTTATCAAGTTACTTAACGAAATTCCTTTTTTATAAATACCAATAAGATAATTATACTATCAATGTATATTAACAAACAATTCTGATCAAAGTTATCTGAGATATGTGATGATTTCCACTATCCAGTATTTTCGAGTGACAAATTATTACGGCGTAATGTATATGCAATATAGGTACATTATTTTGTTTGAGCATAATATTTTAACAAGAGTGTTCGGCATAATATAATCCTGTAATCTTGAGAAAATATTAATTATACTGTTTTATAAACATAATTAACATAAATTCAGAAAATGGAGTTTCRTGAGCATACTCAGCCGGGCCCATCATTCTGTTTGAAATTAATAAATCATTTTAAATGATCAAAATAAAAAATCAAGCGGAGTCACGAACTGCCCGGGCACTTTCGAACACACCGTTTTTAATAACCTGTATATTTGTTATAACACTTGAATATTTTGAATTATTATAAATCTAAATTTTCTTTTTTTTTTATAATAATTTTAACTCAAATATTTGATTAAGTATAGTACTATTGTATATTGTTATTGAAAGTGTATTTAAGCCATATTATATTTTGCTTATTAGATTCTCTAACTTACATAGATGGTTGATTTTCGATTGAGTACTTTTCTGAATGACATCGAATGTTCGATGGCTAAATATCTATCGATACTCATTGCAGCTATGGTAAAAACGCTTGCTCCAACTGAAACTCCTGTAAATAAAATAAAATCACAATTATTAAACGAACGGAGATTTAAAACAAAAAAGTCTTTACAKACGTAATATATTATCTTTTTAATTATTACGACTAATGACATTAAAAAAATTATTATTTTATTTCAAAAATTGTACGCGCAACAATTAAATAATTAAGTTATGTTTTAATTTTTTAATTGTTGACCATTTTCTAATAATATTAGTAAATAATGAAACAAAAATAGACGATTGAACCATTGAACGGGCCACAATTTTTGTTATGATATTTGAACAGGTGCATTTTTATTTTAACATTATTTAGGTAAGTGATATATTTTTTTTAATGTTATTATAAGACACATAAAATTATTTTATTATTTTGGAAATAATGATAATCAATACAACCACTACACGTCCTGGAGTATCATAATATTTTTCTCAATATTAAATTAATTTATGTAGAACCAATTTATTATTATCAGAAATTCGTTTCTGTAGAATTTATTAAAAATTTATTGTTGAAAATATGTTCACATCAATATCTATTTTAGCAAAGGTAAACAGTTTTCTACTAATGTACATTGTTTTCAACAACATTTCAAAAACTGCACTGTTTATTTTTACGAGTTTTTTCCTCTATAGTGAATATTATAATCCTTTCGTTTTGAAAGCTTTATCCTAGTGGCTACTAATATAATACTAGTCCAGTGGTACTTCAAGCCACGTCCATGTTGTGTTGTTTTATTTTACATTAGCATAYTAATTGTTTCAAATGTAATTTAATTATAATTTCCCCGTGTAGAAATTTTACACCACGGTAAAATCATCTATCTGTTATTAGGGCAAGTGATTAATAAACTGCGTAACAAAATAATACAAATGAAACATTTTCAGGCGAACTTAACAATTTATTTTTGGTTAGTGATTGAAGATTTTACTTAAAAAAAATATTTCAAAATATTATTCTAGTATTTTAAATCTAACATTGGAATTATAATTTTTTTATCGAGTTTAACGTAATGCGTGTTTTTTTAGGAAGGAAACTCATTTAACGGTAATACTTAAAGTTATTTCTTTTCTTTTATATTAATCTATTTCATCTCACGTTAGCTACTTGTATACTTTTAMTAACCCCTCTGGCTTCTGTTAGAAAAAATAGTAAGATGGTAGAATGTATTTTCCACCTTTTTGTTTTGCAAGTTTTAAACTTTAATTGGAAATAGTTATTTGATTACAATGGACAGTGACGAAGTACTCAAAAACAATTCTTTTAAGCGCGATAAATTATTGTCTTAAGACAAATATTGGATTGTATTGCATTTTATTGTTAATTTGCATTGCATGCCTGTTGCTGAAAATTATTGATTGGCATTTAGAAAAAAAAAAAGGAAAAGCGAAAATTATTATATTGTGTTAGGTAGGTTTAGAAATTGGTTCTTTCTTGTGAACTCCATTTTCGGGTATTATTTTGTCTAGTATACCAGAAAACAGGGAACAACAAATTATTTATAGAATGAACTATAGTTTTTACATTATAAGRTTCTARTACGATAAGGTATTTAATTTTAATTTTAATTTTTGTTTACTGATTTAGGATAAAAAGCATTTAAAATGCTTAAAAATATGTATATTAGAGCAATACGTTCTAATCGAGATATGACTAAGTTAAGATGACATACGTCAGTAAGACTTTATTTAATAAAAAAATGAAAAAAAAATCAAGATATGTATATTATGTAACTACTTATTTTGGCAAAATCAATAGTTCTCATAAAAATTCTCTTTTTTTGTTTTTGTTTATTACATTTGTGCAAAAATGAAATTAAACAAACCATAAATAAATAATAAATATTTAAAAAATAATGTACAATAAATAATACATATATATATATTATACATATATAAATATATGAAATGAGTAAAAAAAATTTAATTATTTTTTATTTTTTATTTGATAAATACACCTCTAGACTGGAGTTATTGGYGTTTCCATTTAATAAATGAATGTATACATATTACATTAATTATAATTTAATAACTATGTTGTAATTTCAGTATATAACTAAACGTAAAATTGTTTTATGAAATAAATTAAAAACTAAATAATTTGTAAATAATTGTACTTTAAGTTGACATAAGTTAAAACGAATTAATAATAATACAGAGTAGTAGCTAGTACTTAATAGAATTAGAATATCATATATGTAGTATAACATTTACTCTGAAATAGTGAAATGTTATTTAAGTACTTATTAGTTATTATAATCATGGTATGAAGCTTATTGTTTTTACTATTTCTTCACTCGATACGCATTTTAAAGTTTATTCAAATTCTTTTCTACCGTACATTAGGTTGTTAGTAATATTTTAATCATATAACCTGATCGTTTGTTTATCAACATTTGTAAATAACAAATGTAAAATATAATTTGAATTATTCATTTTTTTTTTTTTTTTTTATTAGATTATGAGCAAAAGTAATTAGCTATATTTTGAATAGTGTATCGTTTAGTATTTTGTGTGTTATTGTTTTTCAAAAGTGTTAAAAACAGAAGGATTTATTCTAAAAGTGATTGATTCATTGTTGAACAGTAAGAGATTTTTTCATATAATTAATTAACTTTGGATTGAACATTTTTATAATAGCAGAGTTTCATACTTCTACATTTAAGCATTGATCAAATTTAATAATTATATCACGTAGTTTTATCACTCATTTAATGTACCTAATAGGAATATTTGACATTTCTGTATTATTTATAACTTGTTTTGAATTAACAATTTTGGCATTTTTTTTAAATTATTAAAAGCATTTTCAATTTTTAAAACTTAATTTTGATGTCTATAAAAAAGAAATTAACATTGCTAAAAACTTAAGGGATCTAAATAATCAATCGTTCTCACTACACTAACGACATAAAATTGTTCTTTCAATAGATTTAATTGTTTCACGTAAAATATATTCAATTCAGTTTTGAAAAAATAAACCTTCCATTTTGAAATGATTAACTGAAGTCACAAAACCGTTTAATGAATCTTTCCAAAGTTGTTAATATATTGCTAATATTTTTATTAATTCACTAAAATGGTTCTCTTTCGTAGACATAACCAATATATGATCACGTCATTAATCGTGTGTTCGTATTGCGTATTTATAAAGGAGCTAGTGGTTTTCACAATAGTCGACGTATTTGCTGATTGTTTCAGCATTGTTAAATATGGATTATAATTTTGAAACTAAATGATAACTACATATTATATACAAAGTAACGAAACACAAAAGGAAAACATATCCCCAAGAGACTGTAATTATTATTATTATTATTATTATTATTATTATTATTATTATTATTATTTTTTTTTTTTTACTTAAGCCCTTGGTTCATAACATCTTTTTCTTGATTTATTGTAAAAATACATTTTGTATTAAATCCATGAGAAGCTAGTGTTTAAATTACAAGTAATCGATAGCGACCAATATTATAATATTATTACCTTGTAAATATGATGTTAATTTGCACATAGTTTCGCCGTACAGCCATAGACCGGTCACCGACTGTCCAACGGCCATTGGCATACATATGAATGTCACTAGAAGATCGGCGATGGACAAGTTCACCAAAAAGTAGTTTGTTACACTGTAAATATTTAAAAAAAAAAATTTTAATATTTATTTCGTTCATATTATAAAATATATTCATGGCATGTGGTCTACCGGGAAGTATTGTCTTTTATTRGTGCCGTATTGATAATATTTTATATAATGTACTGTTAGTATTAAATTTGATAATATTATTATTATACTACCATCACTATATTTTTACGGTTTGTCATAGTAATATGTACTTAATAATCATGATGTGCCTAATAGATTTTTATTGAAATTTTGACCTGCATGGTGATAAAAAACGACAGGTACTCGATATTATAAAGGTAACATATTAATCAATTAAGAGTTATCGATAATTCCGAGCATGCATCGCTAAATGCTCAATGTAAATACGAATTTTTTATCCATTTTCAATCAAAATAGATGACTGTAGTAAGGAGTCCATACTTATTTTATATAATTATTGCAGTGTAATTGTTTCATTATTATTATTATTATTGTACTATGGAAGTATGGACATTATTACAATTATTTACAATATTACAACTGCTTAACCAAATGAAATCATTTATAAACAAAAACAAAACTTTAGAGATAGAACATTTGAGTTTCAAAAAATTGTCGTGTTTATACAGGAATAATGTTCAAATTTCCGAGGAAATAGTACTCATGTTTCAGTGCTATGTGTTTAAATTCCCGGAAATAACGCTGCCAACCGATTCAATTATTGCTTAAGGACCCGCTTATAATATTATACGCGGAGAATTGCGCTATATTTTTACGTTATTGCTATGTGTCGTTAAATGTTCTTGGTAACCGAGTGGAGTACATTTGTCATTCTGTATAGTTGAGGCACAAAATAAAGTGTTATGGTCTGAATGATTTCATTGCACAAATTCAAAAACAAAAAAATAACGAAATCTGAGCTAAATTCCATTATTATTTGGATTTTAGTCCACAAAATCAAACTTTTTGAAGTTCACTTTATAAGCCAGAACATATATTTCGAATATATTTTCATAGGTATATATATATTTTTTTATAAGCTCTGACAAACGGTTAAGATCCTTCGAAAAAGAGCTTACCTATGTTTCRTCGGTTGCAAAACCATAGGTTGACGTTTTCACTTGACATTGAATTTTCTTTGTCACAAATACCATCAACAATATACGGTAGGTATTTGTTTTATTGCTGTCAGTTAATTTAACTTCAAAACGGTGCGAATAAATTTATTAGAGTATTTTTTAAATGAAATATTTTATTATGGATATATTTTTCTTACGATATTATATTAAACAAACGTTTTTTTTTTCAAAATCTTAAACATAATTCTATTAAACTATTCGCAAAAGATTTTTAACAAGTGTTTAATAATTTACGAATTACAAAACGCGAATAATARTAATTTTTTTTAAATGTATATATTAATATACTTACAATAATTATGCTGTAAGACTATACCATCGAAATAACAATATATTTATTTTGGTATCGAGAGAAGTGATTACATTAACTATAATATTTAGGTATTGCTTTATTTTCTGGCGATAATATTTTTTTAGAATTTAAAATACTGGTCCGAAAAAAAAATTCTAGATGAAAAGAATATATCAATGGTAGTTATGCCTGTATTATATAGGTTGCAACCTAAATAAATCGCATCCAACGCATGCGTTAAAATTGAAAAATAGAATTTTTACTCTTCCTTCAAAATTGAACATTGTTGGTATAGATACGTCGCCTTTAGCCTATACACTGTGCACACACAATTAAACAACATAACTGTATGCTACCTATTTGTATAACGTTATTAATTAATTAATCATTAATCGAAATAAATATACCCGAGAAAATCGACGTAGATGGCTMATTGCATAATTATTATTCAGTTATATAGAAAATTAGCAACGCATAATTGTACCAACACAAAAAACCAACAAATATTCGAGACTTGCGTTCTAATCGAATAATATCATATTATACCTAAATAGGTTATATAAATATATGTGTGTATATGGGTAAGTTTAGACGTATTTTGCGGCATTTACCGCGCTGTAACGAATTTCCACATATAATATTATACAACATATATAATTTGGATAGTGCCGATTAATTATRATACAATGAATATTGTATGATGGCGTTAATAGACACTGACTAGGTTTTTGTTTTCAATATTATGACCGCCATCAAAGGATGAAGAAGGACGTAATTTGCCATCGCATAATAAATTATTATTATTATTAATAATACGCGATATGCGCCAATATATAGTCTTTATCTATAAAAAAATTTTCATACCTGATATTTTAATGTTGTAAGAAAAATTATACAAGTAGATCGTAATTTCTTTACCGTCGTAATGAAACTTTTTCATATTTTAAGATACATAATATTATGCTGTTTTTTATGAGCGAATATAACTATGGAATATATTCATCGTAACCCCTTTGTTCTTCGCAGATTTAAAAAACCTTTATTTAATAAAAGTATCCAAGCGAGATTGTGACTGATGTAAGATGTGAGTAATCATGTATTGAATTGATTTTTCAGGCTTTCCGACCAAGGAACAAAAATGTTTTCACCATACATCAAAGCATAAATACACAAAAAAAAAGGAAATGGAATTCTTTCTGATGTATAGTACTTATTATAAGGGCCCACTGTACCTCGTATTGATTGGGAAATGAATGTATTAAATTTGAATTAAATGATAAATCATTGCATACGAAAAACGATTCTGAGCTCAGCATGTCGGACATCTTTGATTGAAAGTGAAAAATTCTTATAAAAAAACGTGTCTATGTGTATTTCATTTTTTTTTTTTTTTAATTTTTATAATAACTTTATTTATGAGGAATCACGCAATTTTTTTAAAATTTTATGTAGGGGCGAACATTTTTTTATCAATAGTTATTGAAAATTTTATTTGCTTATAAATATGATAAATATTGACATTGAAAATCGAAACATGTTTTAACTATAAAAAAGGGCTGCTTTCGTTTGGGATAATAATACAAAATTTTATATCGTTTCAGCGACATTTCCTCGCGGGCCCTATAATATATTTAAATTGGGTGAGATAATATATGCTAGATGTAAAAGAAAGATATGACAAAAAAATAAAATTGATGAATAACATTATAAAATCATGGTGTCACGACCTTCTATTTATAACCCAGACAAAA